CACACATTCAATTAATGTCCAACGCTTCTCCTGAAACCACATATGATCCTTATCATGTGCAAAGGTCATACATTTTACAGCACGTTGAAAAAAATGACGTCACATATCACACATTCAACTAATGTTCCATACATGATATATGTTTTTTTACATCATACATTTTATAACACCTGGTAACAATGACGTAATAATCATACATTCAACATACCTGCTTAGTGTTCCATGTTTCCTCTAAACCACAAATAGTGTGGTCCTTATGTGTATATGCCATACACTTGTAACATACGGGTTCTTCGCAATCCTTACAGTACTCGGCAAACCTCATATTTTCGTATCCATGTTCGTCACACAGACTGCTTTCATTAGATTCCTTATCCATGTCTATACAAAGTCCTTTGTTCTGATATTGTTCAATAATGCCTTGTAGAGTCCTATTCAACTTCAAATGGTCCACACTGGCTAATATCATCTACAACGCAATGACAGTGACATGACACAAATTTTAAATAAGTTATCGTGAACTGAACATTCGTGCAATGTATCATGGAATCCAGGTATTCCGAGTACACCCAAGAACGTCTCACGCCACGTCTCGAAATTTTCGGGCCAACTGCTTTAAAGTTTGCAGCACTGAATTGCGACCAGTAACAACATCACCTGGCCCTTATTACTACCGAGAATCACGACCTGTGATACTGTCGCCTAGCGGTTACTCGCTCTGTCCATCACTTGGCCGGTGTAATCAACTTGAACCGGCAATACGGAGTCAACTAAACACGAGCGGAGCAACTTTATTTATTTATTTATTGGAGATAGGCTGTTACAGTTCAGATAGGATATCATTATTGAGCCACAATGTGTTGACATTGACGTTTGCTGTTGAATTTCGTATGTGATATCTAAAAGAAATATTTCAATAATTGACCAGAATGTGCGTACTAGAAAATTTAGTATGGGGGGGGGGTATTGACAAGTAAATGCATATATAATAACGTCGACTATGGTTGGGGTCGAATCATCTTCTTTATACTGTCCGCTTACATTACTATTGGCCAATTATAATCGATTGTATAATTTCAACCCTCCGAGAACGCTAAAGTAATCTTTTGCCATCTTTCACAAAATAAATCTGCATAAATGTTCCCATATTGTTTTCACAAATGTTTATCCAAACCTCAACTGAAAAAATCCGGACCTGTGCTCATTAACACATTATGTCCGTTTAATATTAAATTAACGAAGAAATGATAGACAAAATAAATAAAAACGTGTAAAAATGTGCATTAAAAATGTTAGTGGTAAAAATATGGCGTTCAAGGGGAAATTAATTATGAAATAAGTACTTCAGATAGTTGATGTTTTGTCGTCACCTTTCTACATAGAGTAAATAAACTAATCTGATTGGTCCATCTAACAACGGTATGGCGATATCTAGAACAATGGCTGTGTTCTTTGACATTTTACTAAACGTAAAAATATATAGCGTGGTGATTAAGGCGATTAAACACATCAACATTTTCCACAGCTCAGAGACGATTTTATTTTATTTTGAGTACAACGACATAACCGTCCTCTGTACGAGAACCTCGTTCATTTTGTTTGGACTACGTACGAAATCATTCGATAATAAATATATGTTTATTTGCATATTGGAACGATAATGTTGGTGTACGATGTCATGTGACTTGATATGTGACGTCATTGTGATTTGTCTTTTCCGTAATCTCGTGATTGCCTGATAACAATTATATTTATAACCAAGAGTTCTAGCACATCTAATGCCCTAATGTTTGCTATTTTCATTATTCGTGGCAATTGACCAAATTTAATTCAATACCGACAATAACATGGAGCGTTAGGGTTGTTCAGTATTTGTGTTGTTATTTTTGTCATTTTGTGTTCCAGTGCCAGTAAAGGCTACGTGCATATAAAATTAATTATTCTGTATGACACCTTCAACATATACATATGTTATATGTATTTCTAAGTACAGAAGTTATTTATTTATGTAAAGGCTCTCCAGCACAAGGTGTATAATGCCTATGGGAAATCTAGAACTTTGTCTGCACAATGACAAATACTCGAGCAGTGACGTTCAAACAAATGTAGGTCACAGATCTCTATTCTATTCTATATTGTACTACGTTCAACTATGGAACTAAAAAAACAAAAAAAACTAGTTTTTGTTCCGTGGTTCATTCGGAGTAAAGAGCGTAAAACTATGAAGAATTAAATTACCTACCTTATGCCGGCACTCCGGACATGAAAATTGGTAGCGATCTCTACCACGTATCTTTATAAGCAATGGTTCCACGCACCGTCTGCACAGATTATGGGAACACGGTAAGAACAAGGGCGTCTCATATACGTCTAAACATACGGGACAAGTCAGTGCGTCAGACAGATCCATGTTGCAGACATCTCGAATATATGTCTCTAGAATTTATCCGTAAGCGAGAATTCTACACCGTACCGTCTGTTGAGTGCTTGCGTCTCAGTTGAGATAAAACAAGTGCATTGTTTTGTATTGACTCGTCGGTTGAAGGTCTCAGCGCTCTCTGATTGCCCTGGCGTCACTGATCCACAGCCAATTTATCGAACGATCTCGAACGAAATTCGGGTTATCATTAACAACCGGACCGTGTTTACAGCGACTGTCGAGAATTTGATGACAGCAACAAAGAATTTGTCTAGTAAGTCGAAACAAATTTCTGGAAAGTCAATGAAAATAAGGAAAGTTCCATGAAAGGTTCTAAATGATGTTTTGAATATAAACATTTTGGAAATATTTGAAAAGATGTTTGAATATCGGAATCGTTGCAAGACAAAAAGCGTTGTAAAAGTTGAAGGGAAAGTTGTCATGGAAAATTTGCCAGGTAAGCGGTAAAATTTGCAGGAGAGCGGAAGGTGATAAAAAAGTGATTATATGCATAAAAAACGAGAAAGCTTGCCAGGACAGTAGAACAAGTTGAAATGAAACATATTTTCCGGTAGGTCGAGAGTTGTCTGGAATATCGGATAATGTGACTTAAAACGATTTAGGGAAAATCGGAAGAGATGTTTGTATTGTCGGAAGCGATGCATGGAAAAGTAGAAAAAGATTCCAAAAATGTCGGAAATATTGTCTGGATAAAGTCGGAATAGTTGCATGGAATATCAGAAACGTCTCTGTAAATGTAAGATGTACGGATTGTAGCAGGTTGTTTGGGAGGCCTAATAAAAGATGTCAGGAAAGTCGGGAAAGTTGACTGTAAAAATAGAAAGTCTAGAAAGTTGCCGTGAAAGTCGGATAATTTGTCAAGGAAAGGTTGCACGGAAAGTTGGAAAAGTTGTATGAACTGTCAGAAAAGATGAACAGACTGTCGAAAAAGATGCATGGACTGTCTGAAAAGATGTATGGCCTGTCGGAAAAGATGTACGGACTGTCGGAAAAGATGTACGGACTGTCGGAAAAGATGTACGGACTGTCGGAAAAGATGTACGGACTGTCGGAAAGATGTGTGAACTGTAGGAAAAGATGTATGGACTGTCGGAAAAGATGTACG